CCCTTTGTAAGCAGTGGCATGGGAACCTTCAGACTGGTCACCACTTGTAGCCAGAGAGTGAATGGCAAGAGAGTTGTTACAAAGAAAGTGCTCGAAAATGTGAGGGGGAAGATTGAAGTGGAAAACGAAAGACTGTTTCCTCGGATTCCTCGACCTCGTTGGTAAGGAGTTGCTGCTGTGTTCTTTAACGGTGAGACTTACTTTTTTGATGCTTATCAAAGATGAAATGGAATCTAAGAGCGTGTTGAATTGGGATGGACACCTTAGCCCAAACCTCTCATTGCACAGAGGAGGGGAATTGTGGACCATGTGTCGACGTGAGAAACTAGTAAGCAGCAGAGTAGAGCATCTAGCGCGAGTCTTGTGATTCCAGAGACCACCCCAGATAAGGCCTTCTGAGTCAACTGTGGAATGGACTCTGAATGTTTTTCCTGCCCTAGTTTGTGATTAGCCAGTTGCCTCTTTCTTCACGGCTACTCTTTTTCTCTTTCTAGCCTCTTTCGTCTTTGCTTCCTCTCTTCCCCCCTCATCTTATGTCTTCCTATAAATTTCTCATCACTAGGCTCAATTCAGGCGAATGGATTCATGATGGCAGGGAGAAAGAATGAAAGTACATGGATTAAGATCTTTATATGCATTCTATTTATTTTATTTTATTTTTTCAAGAGATGGGATCTTGCTATGTTGCCCAGGCTGGCCTCAAACTTCTGGGTGCCAGCGATCCTCCCACCTCAGCCTCCCAAGCAGCTGGGACTACAGATGCTTACCACCATACCCAGCTTTTATATGCCTTTTAAAAATAGGTAGCATTTATTGAGTGCTCAGTAGATGTCAGGAGTTCCACTTCATGTGTTATCTTAATAATCCTTTCAGCCGGGCTCGGTGGCTCAGCCTGTAATCCCATGCTTTGGGAGGCTGAGGTGAGTGAATCGCCTGAGCCCGTGGGTTCGAGACCCGCCTGGGCAACTTGGTGAGCCCTCATCTCTACAATAAATCAAAAATGAGCCGGGTGTGGTAGCGCACGCCTGTAGTTCCAGCTACTTGGAAGGCTGAGGTGGAAGGATCGCTGGAGTCCGGCAGGTCGAGGCTGCGGTGGCCGGGAGCGGCCACTGCACTCCGGTCTGGGCGACAGAGTGAGACTTCGACTCAAAAAAATAATAATAATAATAATCCTTTCAACAGTGAAATACAGTACTTGCTTTCTCCCCATCATATAGATAAGAAATTGAGCCTTAAAAAGATGAAGTAACATGCCCCAGGCCCTACCTAATAAGCAACAAAATAGTGTCTTCATCTAAAGCACATGCTCTTCTACTGGGCTGTAACATCTATGGTTCCTGCTCATTTATTTTTCAGTCTAGGGCCTTGCCCTCATTGGAAGTTTAAACCTATATATCTAAAGCATATTTCACTGCACGAGTACTTGCTGGAACTTGTTAAGTATGCAAACATTTTGTGTTGCGTTGCCCAATAGGAACCTGTAGGTTACTTTTATATGAAGATAGAATCTATATAAAAAGTTTCACTGAAGCTAACGATGATTATCTGTTAACATAGAATTCCCAAGATGAAGCTGGGCTCGGTGGCTCAGCCTGTAATCCCACGCCTTGGGAGGCTGAGGTGAGTAAATTGCCTGAGCCCGTGGGTTCGAGACCCGCCCGGGCAACTTGGTGAGACCTCATCTCTACAATAAATAACAAAACTAGCCGGCTGTGGTAGCGCGCGCCTGTAGTTCCAGCTACTCGGAAGGCTGAGGTGGAAGGATCGCTGGAGCCCAGCAGGTCGAGGCTGTGGTGGCCGGGAGCGGCCACTGCACTCCAGTCTGGGTGACAGAGTGAGACTCCAACTCAAAAAAAAAAAAGAATTCCCAAGATGTGAATTAGCTTTTTGTTTTGGATTTAATAGTGATATACATGCAAAGTCTTGGTTTGTTCTGTTTAGCTTAGCTGGAGCTGGTCACACTCCAACCCCTTCATTTATGTTAATAAACAGACTGAGTTCCACAGGAATTGTTCCTCATGGAAAGTTACTCACAGAGTCTGCATTAGAACCTCTGTCTTCCAATTTCCAGTCTCAAGCTCATTCTTGTATACCATGCCGATTGGCAAAATTTAGATTTCGTTTGCATCGCAGACATAGAAGTTATGTAACAAATTATTAGCTTTCTTAAGAGATTTTCCTGTGTGTGCAGTTTTTTGAGACAAACATTTTACACAGTCTTTGAACTTTTTAATCTCAGCGAATATTCTGAGCCTAAACAGGACTATTGCCTAAATCTCTCTGGCAAAAGGTAGCACATTTGCAGAAGGGAAGCAGAAGGTGTATTTGGAATCAGAACACATCCCATTTCTTTCAAAACCTGTAAATTTCCACTTGGTAGTCATTGAGAATCTCCTACATGTCAGGTACTGCGCATCCGTCATTTCTAATCACCATAGTCCTTCAGGGGTTTAATTCCATTTTACAAGTAAGAAAACTGAGGCTCACAGAAGTTGAGTCCCTTACCAGGGGGCCCAGAATAAGTTGTGGAGATAGGATTCAGACAGCAATTTGCCTAAGCTGAAGCTTCGTTTCCATTGTGCTGTGTTTCACCCTTACTCATCTGAGCTGCTCTTGTCATGGTTTAAGAGGAAAGTTTAGTTGTGTGTATGAATTAACTATATTTGTCTCAACATTTCTAAAATGAGGATTTCCAGATGGAGCTTTCTTTTACCAGCCCTGGTCTGAGGTGAACTGCAATGTGTCTACTGAACAAAGGGAAAATCAGATTGGAGCACGAAACGTGATTTTTCTACTTTGTCTTAAGTAAAATTCAAATTTCAGCATTTTTCACAGACATGCTTGGCTTTTGACAGAAATGCTGAGTTGTAGAAGGACTTTTTTGCCAGCAAAGATTTTTTAAAAAAATTCATTTTGAGTCAAGGAAGTTTTCTTGTTGTGTAGAAATGAGAGCAGTGTCATTTCTTCCTGATGCCTGTTTAAAATGTGTAGTAAGTTAAGTGTAAGCACACAGCAGCAAAGGAGGGCAGGAAGGACTCTGCTGTTTGGTGAAGTATTCTGAGTCAATATCGATCTCCGTGCACAAGACAGAACAAGAGCTTTGAGGTAACCTCTAACTCAGACTGCTGTGACCTCGTGGTGTCTTCAGCACTCCGCTGTGGTTTCCAGTGGCCAAAATCTCCTCTGCCTTCTAACTCTCAGACTTACAGGTTTCACTAATGGGCAATTTTTAGGACATCTAATTGTCAAAATAGGTAGAAAAGTACGTTAGGATTGGAGAGTTCATTCTTGTGTCTTTAAATAAATTTTTACCCCTGCCCTATCAACCAACTGTTTTTTTTTGCATGTTAGGGTTTTGAATAGTTGTCTCTCACAAAGTAAAGAGAGACATTTTGTGCTCTAACAGCCGAAAAAATCAAGATTTCCAATACTCAAAAACACCATAGACCAGTTAGAAGCGATTCCTTGCTCAGCTCTGGTTCACTCTAGATGAAGTGAGGACCAGGGTCCTGTCGAGAATGATGAACAGGATGATTACAAGTGATTGTATAGCTCACTGCTCAGGGAGCATTTGCAAGAGCAGTTTCTCATGGAGTCCTGTCAGAAACCCCACCGAGTGAGAAACGAGAAGGAAGGGGCTTGGCCTAAGGTCACAAAGTGGGTGTTTCTTCAAGCATCCAGCCTGGTGCTGTTTCGCCCACACTCTCAGGCACTCAGAGCACATTTTCTTCACAGCCTGTCAGGTACACGAGAGAGCTGGAGGAATGGCCACCCTGGGGATGATGTAGGAGGGAGTCACAGTTTCATGAAGTTGCAGTTACACATTGTGTCCCTTGTCTGTCGGTCAGCAGGGGAGGTAGGTACAGAAGAGTGTGGGTAAGAAATGTCAGCATTCACCAACCATGAACAGCCGGTGCAGTTCTTCATCCCATGTCTCCTGAGAGCCAGCTCAAGTTCTTAAGAGACAAAAAGTTCCCACCATAAACAATGACAAAAATAAGGTGTTGTTCAGCATTCTTCTCAGTGCTTCCTTTCCAAAAGTTTCAAACCACATTATATATTTGGGGTCCTCATCTCTTTCAAGAGGATCCTGTTTTTATTTCACCCGAAAGCTCTGCAGTCTACAAAATACCTGAAGTGCAGTGTGCTTGGTTGTGTGCACGAGGGTGTGGAGCATGGATTCTGGGCAGAATGGAGAAGGGATTTTCAGCTGTCAGGCCACTACCCCGCACTATCTTGTTTGGAATTTTGAGGATTCATTGAGAGGGAGTGTGGTGGAGGCCCTCAACATGGAACGGTTGTTTTAAATGGCAGGAAAGTCTCCCAGAGAGGGAGTCATTTTTCTAATGCCCCTTGTTTGCAATTGACTAGGCTCCTGGAAACCTAAAGACTCTAGCCCCCACTGAGCCATCTAAAAAGTACATTGAAGTGTCAAGCGAAGCAGATGGAATTATAAAAAGACCATTGGCTTTGGTTGTAGGTAGATGAGAGTTCAAATCCTATGACTGCCTTTCTTAACTTCTCGATCTTAGGTGGGTTAAGTTCTTGCTTGATCCTTTGTTTGCCTGTAGGATAAAGATTTTATCTCTGCTCATTCTAATCTACAGAGTTGTTTTAGAAATTAAGTGCACAGAAAATCTTGCATAAACTTGAATATATTTAATAAATGGAAAGTGTCATGATTCCTTTCAGAAGCAACATCTTTGATCCTTAAAGGATACATGCTCTAAGCTTACCATCAGCTTTTTAGAATGTGATGTTTGTGATGTGATCTTGAAAACAAGATCAGCTGTGGATTTTGTTTAATCCCCAGACATGAAAGAGAGAAGATAAATATAGAAGATTCCACGTTATTTTTCCCTTTTGGCAAGTACTAAAAAAGTAATGTTTTTAGCTGAGAGACAATTGGTATGACTTTTATCTTTGAACTCTCTTTTTCCTTTGTTATTCCTGAGCTTTTTGAACTTACATGTTGGCTTGACCTTCTGCTTCCATTATAGGAAATTGATGGAAAATCCCTGCTATTGATGACCAGAAATGATGTGCTGACAGGACTTCAGTTAAAATTGGGGCCTGCTCTGAAAATCTACGAGTATCATGTAAAGCCTCTACAGACAAAGCATTTAAAGAACAACTCTTCATAGTACAGCCAAATTGGGGTCTCGGACCCCAAAAAGTTACATAATGACATAATTCAGTTTCATGTGATGAAACTTTGTAAACGAATACATACATGTGTATATGTAAAGAGTTTCAATCGAATGAAACGTTATCCTATTGGATAGACTAGGCAATTCGTCGGCTGACCTGAATCCAACCAGGAGGAGCAAGGACAGGCTGTGCACAAGATGGTTTTCCTTGTGGAATGTGTTAGATAGAGTGTTCTTGGATGTACGTAGACACTCCTCCCCACAAAGCCTCTGAAATCATAAGGGTTTCTTTATTTCTTCTTAGATTGCATTCCCAAAATCCTTTAAGAAAAAAAGAATTTAATAGAATGAACACCTTCTGGTTACAAACTTAAGAAGAATAAAAACAATAACATGGGGAGAAGGAGAAAAGAGAAAGGGATTGCTGTCTCCCTTGAATTCCTCTGCTCCTTAGAGCTTGTGTTACTTGGATGGAATTGCCAAAACCCTTTTTTATAGAGGGTCCTCCACTTGACCTTATTAAGGTTTTATTGGGATGTGCTGCCATGTTTGACAAGAACATGCATCATGGCCCCTTCAGGAGCAGAATTGTAGCTCTGAAAAGAGAAACTCTGTTGTGTACTGAGGATGTCCATCCATATTCAGCCAGCTTTCACGGGGGTTAATGGTATTTTCTGCAAAGATTTGCTTTCACATCGGTTCTTTGTTTCTGAAGAAAGCATTTTTTTACTTTATGGTTTGTATTTATAATAATTTGTTTCTGAAGAAATTTGCCAAGAGTTAAAGGTCAAAAAGCCTTGTTACTAGCACAGAATATTTTTATATATATTCCTTCATGATGGTGTGATATTTTTTTAATTGTCCTATGCTTTGTTTGATTCCTGGGTTGAGTAAATGTTTTTAAGAACTTGAAAAAGTGAGCTCGCAACATCTCTGTTCAAAGAGACATTTGTTCAAACTCTGTGTGTCAATGCCTTGTTGAATTGGTGCTTTGTGGTTGCAATAAAGTATTGCTTCAGTTTACTCCCAGTGTATCTTTGATCTTTTTTGTTTGGTTGCTTCTTCAGTTGGGATTAAGGATTAAGGTCTCCTGGAAACCAGGGAGAGAAAAATTGAGCGATGGAGGGGGAGAGGATTTAGATGTAGAAATTATGTAACTCTATATGTGGAATTATCTTCTTTTATAAACTAAATCATCCATGTAGAGGTTGCTTCCTCTCTTACCCCAACCCAACAACCAATTTTAGGTTTTATTTTAGCCAAATATTTCTTTTTTTATTTGCTGTAGGCCAGTGGAAGTCATGATTTTTTGTTGTTGTTGAAATTCTCATGAAATTCAACTGACCTTTCCCTTCAGTCAAAAGCTCACCTTTCTACACACAAAATTGCAGAGTTGGGGGCCTCTGAATTGCCCTCTTCCTCCTCCTCAAGTTAAGAGTTCTTGTTTCAGAGAGTGTCATAATTCAGCCCCCTGTGGAGATAATTTCTCTAAAGAACAGAGAGTCTGAAGGTGAGTGAAAAACAGGAATCTATATAGATAGTAGGTGGGGTTCAAAAATGCATTCCAATTAACTGTGGTGTTTATGGAGTCTCTGAAATTTAAGGGATGCCTTGTGTTGCACTGTCAGTGGCGAAGGGGGTTACTCAAGAGACATTTTCGATCCCCAAGTTCCCACAGTCTACCTGAGGCAGGAAACACAAGAAGGCAGAAGGTAGGTAAGTGCTATGAGGAGTGTCAGAGAGACAAAGGGTGAGAACTGAGATGTGGATGGAAAAGAAGGGATTTCTGGATCAAGGAGAAGGAAGATGAAAAGAGGACCTTGATGAAAACCTTTCTGAAGATGCTTCCCACAGTAAAATGGTCATGCTGTTTGGTCCCCTCTACCTCGAAGGTATTTCTAAGGCTTGGATCTATGCACCCACCTGACACCTCTGTATTCCTCTGGCTGTAAGTGATAGGAGCTCTGTCCTCCATCCCCACCAATTAGTGTAAACAAGATAGATACCTACTTCCCTCTCATATTCGTAAACGTTCAGATGAGCAACCAGGGATGGTATGGCCCTCCCTAATATTAGGGACGCAGGTTTCTACTATGGTTTTGTTTTATCATGCATGCAGCTTTCTACTATGGTTTTGTTTTATCATGCATGCATGATATCCATCCCTAGAATCATCTCATAGTTAGTTCAGCCTTTGCCATCACCACTTGAATTCCAACCAGTGTGGGGAAGAAAGGGGAAAAGGAATAAGCCTTCTTCCTTTAAGGATACTTCCAAGACATTCTTCATACTGCTGAATTCTGTCACATGGCCATACCTAAGCTGCAAGGAAGCTTGAAAGATTTCTTCTTTTTCTTGGAAACCGTAGGCCCAACTAAAATTCAAAGTTCTGTTCTATAGCTAAAAGGGGGAGGGCTATTGAGAGATAACTTGCCACCGTCAGAACAAATGACACTAAAACAGTGTCTCTAGCTGTATTTCTCTCCAGATTTGAATTTGAGTTCAACTCAGTCAACGAAACTTCAGACCTGGACTACTCTGTAAATACTTGGGGGGGGGGGGGGAGCAGGCAGGAGGGATGGGAGGGACAAATTGAAAAGCAAACAGAAAAGTATAAACTCATTCCTCAGCCTCTGATGAGAGCTCAGGCAAAATTTGCAAGTTAAAGATAGCCTGCCTTCCTTACACCCAGAATAAAGACCTACCGCCTTGGCAATGACAAGGTGATTTCATCTCCCCTCCATTTAGGGGAAGAGCACTGTGATCAAAATAGGCCAGAAGAAGTTGGACATACTTGATACTCAGCGGGTAGGCAGCCTTTGACCCCAGACAGCTGGAAAAACCAGAGACATCTGATTCCTGTTCAGATCACACTGGATTTCTGTTAGCGTGATCTGGGTCTGTGGTGAGTAGCAAATGCGTGTGCTGTGTGGAGAAGCACAAACACACGTGGGAATGGGCATGCCCTGATGCCAATATGTTTTATGGCAAAGGTTTGTATGAGAATTGATTCATGTAGTATGTGATTCTTCTCAACCAGAGAGGCACACAGGATATCAGAATCACAAGGAATTCAAGAAAGTAGTTCACCTCCCCCTCCCGCCCCACATTCAAACATCTGATTCAGACCCGGAAGGAAATGGAATGAATGGATTTAATTAAAGGCAAGGTCGCAAACTAGTCACTTTTCAGTGGAATCTAGACTGACATGTTTTCCTTTGGCCTGTACAGTGTGCATGTGTTTTTTAAACCACACTTGCTCTTCTGGTGAGGCCAAAAGCTCTGAGTTGTTACAGTCTCTTCCACTCCCTAACGTCTTACAACCAGCGACTTCACACTTGAACATCAACTGTCTGGCTTCTGAAGGCAACTGAGTTTCAGACGCACCCCCCCATTCCCCTCCCGCCCCCCACCAACCTCATACCTCATCTAAAGCCAAAAACACACAGACAGCCTCCATAGCGTAAGAAACTGGAAATTCCAAGTCAACTGAGTTAAAAACAAGCTAGCGTATTGCATTGGAATGTGCGGCATATTTGAGCATCATCTCTGATACTTAGTGGGCATGATTAGTACAAAGAGAAAAAGGATAATTAATGTCAGTCTTTTTATTCTGGCCTCAACAGATATCCCACATGAATACAGGTTTTTGTCCCTCTGAGATAAGCATCTGCTGTCAGGGGCACACACTGTCCTTCAATGGTATTAGTGAAATATCTCTTTGGGGGAATTTAATTTGCAAAAGCATCATGACCCAAGTTGTCCAACCACTCTCATATTTTTTGGAAGCCAAATGCAAAAAGTACTTAGTGGTGATGATTCATCTGCCTTTGATGGTCCTTACAAATGAGATCTGCAGGGGTCAGATCTGGGCCCAGAGCCATTAAGTATTCTCTGGAATGATTTGGAGGATGAAGTTAAATGTTCAAAAAGCTGAGGACCGATATGCCTCTTAAGAGAAAACTTGTTATTTCTGCTCCTAAACCAGGAACAGAAGCCACAGGAAGGAGAGCGCGAGCCATGGATGCATTAATGAACAGCTTGTTAGTGTCATGCTGTAGCTCTATAGGCAATTAAGTAGTCTGGGTACTATTTCTGGTCAGCCAAGGCTGTACTATACAGAGATGAAGAGATCTAAATGATCCAAGTTCATTCGGTGAGTGTGACTGTCTTATGGCTTAGCATCACTTGTAAGCAGCGAGCCTCAAGGAAGAGCTGTGTCTAACCTAGCACCGGACCAGAATAATGGAGGTTACTGTGGGTGAAGTGAGTTGATGTCTTTTCACCGGTTAGGTAAGTTTGGTTCTGTACGATGGTCTTTAGGGAGAAATCAGGAAAACTAGAGATGCCTGGCCTTCTCTAAAGAGGAAATGTGCCCCCTTTACCACACAAGTGCAGAACCAATCCATCACCTCTATCATAGCAGATGTAGGCAAAAATGAGTCAAGGTGTAAATAATGCCGAACATCCTCATCACCTGTGGAGGATGCCTGGCCCAGCCAGCTCTACAACCACCCAGATAAGGAGAAATATGCTGCAGGATGGTTTATGCTGTCACCTGGGCACCATACATGGGACATCTTTGGTCTCAGAAGTTAGAGACTTTAAGCTTCCAGCAAAGGGAAGTAAAACAGTCAAGGAAAGTTTTGTCATGACAGCCTACAGCTCTGTCATCTGTGGATATATTGATGACAACATTTCCCAGGCTAAATGTAGCCTTTCTGAATCCAAAGCAGCAGAGGCATTCAGTAAATTGTGTCACATATCACTTTTCAGTGGATTATATTATATGCTGGGAAATACCTTTCATAATTAGTGTTTGGGACAGTACCCTCTCTTCTATGCCAGAACCCAATGGCACCAGTTGAGATACACAGTAAGTGGTAGATAGAAGCACTGGGTAGTAGGCACTGGGGTTGCACCAGGTAGACCTGAACTTGAATCCAACACCACCAAGCACTTGACAAGGGAACTTGGAGAGACTGGATGGCTCCTCCTAGCCTCGGATCCTTCATTTCTTCTCTAGTGCAGACCCAGAGACAGAGCAGAGCAGTGCCAGCCTAGTGCTGTCCAATAGAAATATAATAAACTAATTAAATAATAATTGTAACTAAATAATTGAATCAGTAACTGAATTAGTGGAATAATTAAATTCTACTAATAGAATTTAAAAATTTCTAGTAGTCACATTTTAAAAAGAGAACAAGGAGAAATAATTCACCGTCCTGTTTAAGCCACTATATCCCCAAATATTTTCATTTTAATATGAAATCAATATAAACATTATTCATAATATACTTTACAATTTTTAAAAATTTGTCTTTGAAATCTGATGTGTATTTTATATTCACAGCACATTTCAGGGAGACAGTGTAGCTCAACCACATCATTCAGGATGAGTTTTTGTTGAAACCCCAAATAGCAGTAACTTCAACAAGATAGAATTTGTCTGTCAGGCACATGAGGTTGAGGGTAGGTAAGAAGTGCTGGTGTGGCTGTTTCAATCGTGGTGGGTCTTCTCACACGTTGCTTCACCATTCTCACACAGAGCTTTTGATGTGGTCTCACGTGGCTTCTTGGGCTTCAGTTATCACAGCTGAATTCAGCCAAGAAGTGAAAAGGGGCACCTGCCCAAGAAGCTGCTGGTACTACATCGCTGACATCCCTTTATCAAGAAATAGTCATTTGACCATCCCTAGCCGTAGGGAGGTTGGGATGGTAGTCTTCATTTCAGGAGGCCAAGCAGCCAACTAAACAAGGGCAGAGTGAGGATGGACTCTGTGGGGAAACCAGCAGTGCTTCTGCAATGTCAACCTCATAAGCTTGATGGGGGATTGAACGGCGTACACTGTCCAGTCGTGGGTCTTACATGAAAAGTGCATTAAAGAGATGGGTTTATGACGATGATCTCACTCCAGTTCAAGCCCAGTACAGTCACAGAATTAATAAATGTATGCTACCTAAATACTACTCATCTGATGTATCCTAATATTGCTTTTTTTTAAAAAAAAGTACAATTATTT